CCATTGGGAATGTCCGAGCTGTAAGAAGTACTACGGCAATAACAAGCCTGGGCACGCACTAACACCTGGCAAATGTCAGTTTGCCAAGGCTGCCCGACAATCAGGACAGGCACCGCCTTTTCCTGCCGAACCGGCAGCAGGACCTGCACCGCCGGCTCCTGCTGAACCGGCAGCACCACCACCCGAGGCGCCAGCCGCATCACCACTTACGCGGTTAAGAGCACCCAGACCCGGCTCAAGAGCTGGACATACAGCGGGCGCGAGCAGTCACGATATCACCGTAAGCAGACATGCTACTGAACCTGCTGCAGGGCAACCTGCCTCGAGTGGAGCTGGTAGTTCGGATGGCCATCTTCGACTGCCACAGGTTAGAGTCAGACGTGGCTGACAGCACGGTGGAGAAGCACCTCCTCCGCCACCAGCGGGTGACCCTGATGCGCGACCACGACTTCCAGACTGGTCACGGTTCGACGTACAATTCAGTCTACACATTTTACGAAGCCTTGACCCAAGCGTGGTAACGCGAGAGTTGCGGAAACTACACTTGCGCTGGTTCCATGCCAAAGAGCCTAAGAAGAGACTCATCTTAAGCAAGATAGGTCTGGATCACGTCCGACTCAACCTGATTAAAGGTTTCTGCGACACATGTCGGGGGTGCAGAGCTTGGGACAAGCCTGGACATGCGGTTATGCCCTCCACTGCACTACCAGGCAAATATAAAGAAGAAGTGGGGTGTGATCTGATGTTCTGCAGACAAGAACACAACATCTTCCATATCATCGATCGTTGTATACGATATGCTATTGACTGGATATACCAGGCAAGACTATGACAAGTATCTTGGATGCATATCATCAGTGCTGGAAGCAGTTTGGACCTGCACAGGTACTCTACTCCGACGGAGAGGGTGCCCTCAACAACGACACTGCGAAAGCAGTTTTTATGGCAAGAGGCACTGAACGTAGGATACGTGCGCGTGAACAGCACGCTACGACCATCGAAGCCAGAAGCGGCATCTTGCGCCATCTGCTTCATGTCATGGAAGCTGAACTCCACAGGTGGATCTGCCTCTTGTGTTCACACGGCTACTGCACGAGGCTTTGTTCGCCGCCAACGCGTTCACTTTCTACAGCGAGGTGTCTCCGTATATCGCTCTGTTTGGACGACAACCTGCAATGCTTACTGACAAACCTGTCTTGGACCAGGAGCAGCCGACGGAGACGTCGGATCATTCTCGTGAGCAGACGATGCGCAAGGTATGTATAGAAGCCATCGCACTGGTCACAGCAGTAGCTATGACCAATCGTGCCTTTCGCACTAAGACAACTATCACTGGTCAGCATTATTTCGATGAAGGAGATGTGGTCGATTATTATCGCCCCACAACCACGAATCTTGAGTGGGGAGGCCGGAACGGCCCATTCCCAGTTGTAAAGAATGATCCCGAAAGGGGTCAAGTCATCACCCGAGTGGGCAATCGAGATGTTCAAGTGCAATACCCACTCTATACTGAAGCGTTGATGGCCCGAGAGACTGGCTCCGACAACATTGCATTACGGACATTGTTGGCGTTCGTGGTCGGTTTGTCAGCGGGGAGACTTGCTCTGACTTTTGGCCATGTGCCGACCAGAAGGGGGCGCTTCGGATGACGAGCGCAAGCCGTCTATCTCCTAAGGTAAGTTTAGCTTACAGTACCTTATCAGAAACTTCTTCCGCATTGAGAGTGTAGTTTCAGTCAGGTCAGCTAAGAGTATTCATTAGCTACCTCCGGTTACTTATGCTGACAGCTGCATATTGGTCCACTCTGACGACGATGTGAATCCAGGGTTTCACTATTATGAAGCAGAAGGCACTGTACTGAATATATACGATATAACTGGATCAGCGCATTCGAGAATCATCCAGTGTCTGAAGTCAACTAAACCTCAAGCAGGTTCTGATCAGGACATGACAGGATTTGAGGAATTGGCGGATACACCGACACCACGTGGAACCACCAGAGAAGCCTCAGAAGCCGAACCACCACATGATGATGGACGGCTTTTAACGGTCTACGGGGAATCAGAGGCTGACCTCGAGTCACATGTTATGGAAGTGTGGCATGCATAACTACAAGGGGACAGGGAACTGCTGGAGGCAACTCCACCAGAGGACCTTTTTGCCATGTCCGCACAGATTGTTCCAGGTCAAAGTTTGCTGGTCACTGTTGCTGATGAACAACGGGGACACCTGCTGAAGTGGGGGCGCTCTCGCGACTCCGACACCGAGGGGACGTACTACGTCCCAATGTGCACCGTGGTCGAAGACGACAACTACGGACTGGACTCAGACGACAATGGTCAATATGTCGAACTCTGCTTCGCGGCAGAAATGTCAAAGGTAGTCTTGTCCGAACAACAACGCATGCTACTAGATGCCGGCCATGTGACCACTATGCGAGTATGCGTTACCGCCGCTGCAAAGCGAGCTGCGGTCGTCAAGGAAGACGATCTCCTCTTGAAAGCTGACGCCCAGGCGAGCCCCGATAAAGTATCGGAGGCCCTCTGCACTGAACTCATGACATGGTTCGACAACAAGTGTTTCAATATGCAATATATAGCTAGAGCGTCGAACATCATGACCTCGAGGTACGCGCGCAAATGGAAGTTTGTGAAGAACGCGAAGTGCGAGATGGAACGTGCCATCATTTTTCGCCTGGTACTCCGAGGCTTCGTTGACCACGAAGCCTTCGACGTAGAAACCTTTTTCGGGAACGGCGCGACGGTCGAGCCAGAGGCTACTCGCTAGCACGGCAGCGTTCAAGAAGCAATGGGTCATTGCTTCCCTCGACATCAACATGGCCTTCCTGAAGGGGTTGACCCATCAGGAACATGCTGGGGCTACTGGTGAAAAGGAACGCGTGGTGCGTTTTACTCTGCCGCCTGGATCGGCCACAGTGCTTCGAACTCTCCCAGGATTCGAACATTACGGCGAGTCAACGCATTGCTTGCAGTGCATAACCAGGCACGGGCACCAAAGACGCACCACGGGCTTTCTCATTAAAGCTCAGAAGGACCACCAGAGGTTTTGGTCTCCGACCCACGTCCTACGACGAGGAGTTCGAGACGAAAAACGACCTCCTCACGGCCAAGCATGTCGATGATAGCAATATGGCCGGCACTGAGGACACCATTGACAAGTATGTCAAACGCGTAGAAGACATCTTTGGTAAGTGTAAACTCAACAAGCACACATGCGCCAACTGTGCTGTGATATACATTAAGGATGAGGACGGTAATGTCACTTTGATCAATATAACTACATCGAGCAGCTCCGCCCTATGCAACATCCTGAACTTACCGGCGCCGGCGCCGACGCTCAGGCATCCAAGATGGTTGCAAACGTGTTCGTCAGCCTCAGGGGCGCGCTGGCGTACGCGTTAATCACCCAGGTGTGGTTGATGGTGTGTGTTGTATCTCTACAGCGCGTCCTAGAACCGACCAGTATTCAAGTGCGACGGCTGAGCGCGATCGCCAGGAAGCTGCAGGCCTGCCCAAAGAAGATCGTCTACCAGGCGATGACTCCTACGGGCGAGGTTAACCTGCACAGCGACTCAGGATTCCGACGCCTGAGTGGAGACGCTGGTGACGATGTCAATGGCTATGGTATTCGTGGGGCAAACCTGCAACGACGTGGAAACACGTCATCTGGTAAACCTGTCGTTCACTTGATCGATGCGTACTGCAAGTCCCACCGCTTGCAGGTCCGCTCAAGCTGTTCAGCAGAGACACTAGCAGCAGCCCATAATTTGGCGGACTGTTATCCCACGATTGCGACTCTGCGCGAGCTCCACGCAGGGTCGCTCACGCCCACTCAGTTGGAAGATCTACTTGAGTTGGGTGGCCTGAGCATCAATGTCACTTTGACCATAGACGCTGAGTCTGTTGTTAAGTCCTTGTCAAGCAAAGACTGGAATAAGCCGGCTGACTGTACCCTTTTTGGACACATCAGTTGGATACGACAGATGATGGAGCGCGGGATCGTGCACCGTTTTCAGTGGTGCGACACCCGCGACATGACTGTGGATGGTCACGCCAAGGGGAGCATCGACAGAGACATGCTCCTACAAGTCATGGGAGGTATACAGGCCTTCAAACGTGACCTGAAGAGTCATGCTCCATATCGGGCCGGCCAGACATCGAGTTCTGACGCCGCCTGAGGACTACTTTAAGTACAGAACAGTGCAAGCAAGGCAACTTGCAAGCGGGTCCACCTTTCTCTTGGCCCGCCCTTTTTCTGTCCTTGTGTATATTAGCTGCTGCGCCTGCTGTATAGGGGCGACGGGCTCATGCTTCGTCTCCGCCCCCCCCCCGACTCTAAAGCGAGCTGAGGGGCGCAAGGGGCGGAAGCGAGCGTGCGTCCGCGGCCGCGTCGGCTCAAGCGGCCGGCCGCCCAAATATGACTGCGCCCCATCGCGAGGCACACAGTCGCTATCGAGACATAAAGGATCTTCCTATTGTTTTAGATGGCACATCCTCTCCTACTGGGACTATACTTGCTAGGGTACAACAGAGCAGGAGCGTGGCTTCGCCCAAGGCGAAGCTGCTGGCTGGGCCTCCCAGCCCCCTTCAAACTGCGTTCCCCCCCCCCCCCCCCCCATAGAGGCCAACATGGGGCCCAAACCCTGGTAATTCTAATGATTTTGGTTTTCTCGTCGAGGCCGTTTTGGACGCCCTGACATCTCGTGGACCCCCCAAAAAAATTCAGGGGAGGGGTAAGGGGAAGGGTAAACCTTTCCTTGTAGGGAGGAGGGGTTTTCGGGGGAGAGGGAAGAGGAATCTCGTTAGACCACCTGTCGCCCAAAGGGCTGGTGGCATTCGGAGATCCGCGCTGATTTCTTCGGTCGGCGCTGGGCCCCCTGGCGGCGCCTTTGGCGCCAGGGGGCCTTGGGGAAAAACGCTGACCCAAGAAATCCGCGCGGACCTCCGACTCTTAGTGCTTGTATTTTTTGTTCGCCAAAGGCCACCATCGTACTCGATGCGGACCACAACGGCGACGCAAGATGGAGCTTTTGCCCACACACGGAGTCAGAGACCGAGGAGTGCTTTGGCAGGGCGGAGCACCTGCTCACGGAGTGGACCGATGTCCACGCGTATTGGGGCGAGGCCAGCACCCGTGACCACGGCTTCGACGGTCGGCATTTTCCCCAGATGTTGCGCCTGCCTGCGAGCATGCCGCATGGAAGGGTGACGCTGCGGTGGCAGTGGGTGTGCAAATGGACGGACGAGATCTTCATTTCATGCATCGACGTTGCCGTCACCGCTGCCTCGTCCCGGACCCCGCCCGTGCCGATGTCCGCGCCCACGTTTGCTCCCATGTCTTCGCCCACGGCGGCGCCCACGGTTGCGCCCACAGCGGCACCCACAACGGTGCCCACGTTCGCGCCCACGGCGGCGCCGTTCCCAGCACCGACGCTGGCGCCAGCCGCTGCACCGGTTCAGCCGCCCGTGGCCGCGCCTTCGCTGGCGCCAACCGCTGCGCCGACATCAGCGCCGACCTCGCCGCTCATGCAGCCTCCCTTCTCCGCGCCGTCGCCCGCGCCAACGCGGGCGCCCTCCTCGGCGCCTGCGCCGGCCCCGGCGCATTCGTGCGTGGGCGAGTGGCAGAAGTGTGGTGGGCAGGGCTGGACTTCGGCGGCGCGCACAGGGGGGTGCCGCGAGGGGGGCGGGCTTCTACGAAAGCCAGAGGCTTCGTAGAAGGCAGGGGCGGCCTGGGGTCTTCCAAGAAGACGTTTGAGAAGTCGAGAGGACTTTTAGCTAGAGGCCCGTTTGCCATTTCCGAAGGTCGCCCTCCTCGCTCAGCCCCCGTGCGCGCACCGCGAAGGACTGGCCCCGACTGCTGCACGGCCGGCTTGATCTGCACCTTCGAGAACGCGTGGGACTCGAAGTGCCTGAGGGACGGTCACGGAGAGCAGTGCTCGGAGACCTGGGAGCAGTGCGGCGGGGAGGGCTGGAGCGGGCCCACTTGCTGCGCGCCTGGGCTCCAGTGCGACTCGACCAGCGATCACTACTCGCAGTGCCGCCCGGCGGGCACTGCGGTACTAGTGCGGATCCAGGACCACCGTAGCAGTTTCCTCGCGAGGGGCTCGGTGCTGTTCCAGACGGCGGCCATTGTGCTCGAGGGAGGCGGGCGCTGTGCCAGGGCCCGTCCAGGCGGCCTCATCTGAGCGAGCAGCGAGCTGGCCACGGTCTGCTGATTTTTGGTTTTGCATGTTTTTGTTCCTCGTGCCGGGTGCCGTTGATAGTAAGGTGTGCCCACACTCATTGCGCGGGTTGGGGCGGTCCTTGAGGGGCCTAGCCCAAGGGGGCCTTGAGGTTCTCTCGTCCCTCGCCGGCTTCGGCTGGCGTCGCGGCCACGAGTGCCGTTCGGTGTGCAATTCAGTGCATATTCAGCTGCACGTTTCCAGTCCAGTAGTGAGAACGGCTGCGACGATTTTGTCTTCCGAGAGGCCGCGGCCGCGGCCCTGGCTCGACGGCGCGACGGTGGCGAATAGGGCATACAGGCCACGCGACCGACGCCCGCGCCGTGGACTCAGGGCTTAGCGTCCCGACGAATCAGGCTCGCCTCTGCAGAAAGTCTCGGCGCGTCTGTGCGTTGAATTCCTGGCGCCTCTGTGCCTCACGTGATCGTGTGATAGATGGCCCCTCCGAGGTCGATCCATCAACAAGTGTGCTCCCTCTTTCGCTGCCCGAGGGGTCCAGGGACCGATCCTGAGCCATCCTCGTTGCTCGCCAGTGCTGTAGGCATTCCTCTAATCGGTTTCGGAGGTACTCGGATCTCTCGGGTCTCGGAGTCTCGGAGGTCGCGCGGATTTCTTGGACCCAGCTCCGCCTCTGGCGCGCTCCGCGCGCTGGTTGCGGGGTCCAGCGTCGTTCGAAGAAATTGTTGCGGACCTCCGACAGCTCTTGTTTATGCAGACTCTTCCTGCTCTTCTTCTTTTTCTCCCTCTTCTTCTCCTTCTTCTCCTAAGATCTTCGTCGCCACGGTTGGAAGCGGCTCGTAAACAGGCCGACATCGTGCCCAGGAGGGCTTAGAATATTCCCCTCGCTTCGCGGAGTGCACGTCCGGAGCACCAGTCGTTGCGGGGCCTGGTGAGAGCCTCCTTGTGGGTTTTTGGAGGCTTCTTAGGGGCTTCTTGGGGCCTTTTGGGGGGTTTCTTTGGGCCTCTTGGGGCTTCTTGGGGGCACCTTGGGCCCTCTTGGGGCGCTCTTGCGTCGTTTGGCCCTTTCGGAGGCCGTCCTGTGGGCCTCTCGCGGCCGCCTTGGAGCTCTCTCGGGGTCCTCTTGGGGGCATCTTGAACCGTCTGGGGGGCCTCGCACGACGCCTTGTGGGCTCGATCCATGCACGTGCACAACAAAACAAAGCAAATGATACTATTCGTGGACGTGCCCAGAATGCTGTTATACCCCACGCTGTTTTACGCCATGTTTCGAAATGGCGTGCCATGCCGTGTTATGTGTCCCTAGTGATGTTACGCGTTGCCTGCCATACGGCGCCATGATCTGCCCTTGGACGCGCGTCGCAGTTCCTGGCGCGCGACGTACTTCAAATGCGTCTCGTCCCGATGATGTGCGCAAGTTCTGGGCAACACGTCGTTGCGCGAGCATCCGACATAATTTAGGCACGGCGAACAATATGTTTCTTTTTTCTAGAACTGATAATGTGTGGTGCAACCAACAAAGATGCAATTATAATTGACAATTCCACCGAGCGTCGGTAAGCCGGGGCCGGGGCTGGGGCCAAGGTCCGGCCGGGGGCCGGGGCCGGGGCGGGCGTTTGGGGGGCGAAAGCCAAGGGGGAAAGCTCACAGCGGCGGAGGGACCACAGTCCCCCGGTCCCCCCCCGGACCCCCCCTTCAGGACTCCCTGCAGGACCCCTGCGGGACCCCTCACCGGGACCACCCCCCAGGACCCCCCCTGGGGAAGGGACAAAGGGAAGGGGCTTCCGTTTTTCGTAATGGCTATGATTTTCGATACTCCTCGTGTGTTCGATCTCCCTTACGACTACGACGATTCAAAGGAGGCTGGCGTACTTCAGTTTGGGTTGGGTGGGCCTCGCGTCAAGGGGTGTCTCACACACGCCGACAGGGTCGGCGGGCTTCAGATGCCCTGGGACAAGCGTCCCCGATGGCGGAAACTAAAGCAGTACACCGTTTACCGGCCGCTAGTGTCCAGCGCGCGGCCAACAGCTGCGTTGGCAATTGGTGGTCGCTGTACCGTGCGGAGCGGACGAGTCATGAAGTGTTCCAGCAGCCTATCTGCGGCCCCCACTATATATATATATATACACATATATATCATTATTTTCTTTTAGAGGCTCCAGGTCCAACTCTCACCCAGACGGGGGGTGGCGGAGAGGTGGCACTAGCCACTGTACACCATAATTTTCTGCCCAACGCGTGAACATGAAACCATGGTTGGATATGCAGGTCCGTCGTTGCCATGATGGATCAAGCTGTTTTGGCTTAGTGAAGAACATACTCATCAATGGTTGCGCAGCGGTGGCTCTCGCTGTGCTGCCGACGCGCCTGGGCTGCTGCCGAGCAGACGAGCCATGAGGCTCTCGAGCTGCGCCGAGCGGCGCTGGTCACAGCCTGGGCCCGCTTCGCGAGGAAGCTCAGGCGGGTGGCCAGGCTGAGGAAGATCTGGGCTGCTCTTGGCCACTACCTGAACGAGCTCAGGGTGCTAGGAGGGCGCCCAAGCCGTGCTGAGAGGCAGCGGCAGTGATGGCGGAGCAGGTTGTGCGTGACCAGCAGGCGCAGATGCACGCGATGCAGCAGGAGCTCATCGCGGCGAGAGGTGAGGCCGCGCAGACGCGGCAGGCAGCGGAGGAGGTGCGGGCGGCTGCACCTGCACAGCGGGAGGGAGCGGCGCCGGCGGCAGAGCGCTGGGCCGCAGGGGTTCGGACGATAGGCAAGCCAGCGAGCACTTCGACGGCACGAAGTGGCGAGGCTGGTCGGTGGTCTTCGGGGCGTACGCCGGGGCGACCAACCCTCGCATGGCCAAGGCGCTCCAGCGAGCTGCGAGGGCGGCGGCCCCCATGCTCAACGCGACCCTGGAGGATGACGATGTGGAGATCAGCCGCCAATTGCACTACTGGCTTGTGCAGACGTGCAGGGCCCAGGCCCTTGACGTGGTGCTGAATTCAGGTGCGCTGGAGGGCCTAGAGGCGTGGCGGCAAGTGAACCACCGCTACGAGCCTCAGGTGCGCGCAAGGTACGCGGGCCTCCTGATGCAGCTGCTCAGCTGGGACTTCAGCGGCGAGCTCATCACGAGGATGGAGGCCTTCGAGCGCGAGATCCCGCCCTACGAAGGCCAGACGGGCGAGCAGCTGAGTAACGCCATCCAGATCGGGATTGTGCTGCGGAGGTTGCCAGACAGCCCGCTGAAGCAGCGGATGATCATGAACGCAGAGAGGCTCGAGCAGTGGGTGCAGTTCCGCGAGGAGATCGTGAACATGCGCCGAGCTCAGGCAGCAGCGGCGGCGACTCCAGGAGGAGCGATGCCGATGGAGCTCGGTGCCTTCGGGGGCAAAGGAGGAGGCAAGGGTGGCAAGAAGTGAGACGGCCACGGCTACCCTCAGCGTCCGAAGCCGGTCGGGCCTCGCCGCAACTGCGGCCGCCAGGGGCACCTCAAGAAGGACTGCTGGTTCACAGACAAGGGCAAGGGCGGCCGCGGCGGCGGCGGCGGTGGCAAGGTCAAGGGCGACGACGGCAAAGTTCAGCAAGGGAGGCCGCGGCGGTGGAGGAGGCCCCAGCGGCGGCGCTGGTGCTGGGCGCGGCCCAGAGCAGCGCACGTGCTACTACAAGTGCAACGAGCCGGGCCGCATCGCCAAGGACTGCAAGCAGCGCGAGGTCTCCGCTGTCGAGGGGGGCTTTGAGCCGGGGCCTGAGAAGGCCATCCGCGGGCTCTTCCCCAACGCCCTGAACAAGGGCAGCGCGGTGCAGGAGGCCTGCGAGTTTCTGCAGGACAACGGGATCGCGAGCGAGGAGCTCTACGGCGAGCTGCTGGAGCTGGGAGCGGTCGCTCGCGGCCCTCGGGAGCTCGCGACGGGCGTGGGCTCCGGCGCGGCGACGACGGTGATGCCCAAGGAGAGCTTCGCAGACTACCCGTTGGTGGAGAAAGATATGAGCAGGAAGGGCGAGGGCTACCGCGCGGCTGACTGCGGCTGGGGCACCGACTGCGGCGCGCGCGCGCGAGCTCGTGGGCGAGATCGTCGCCGCGGGCGGCGCGCGCGTGATCGAGGGCATCAAGGCGAGGGTGGCCCCTGTGACGAAGGTGCTGGCCTCGGTCTCGGAGATGGTCGACGCGGGGCGCGCGATTGTCTTCGGCCGCGAGCGGAGATTCGCGAGGAACGAGAGCACAGGACAGGATATCATCTTCGTGAGGCGCCACAACGTGTGCGAGATGGAGTCGGGCGTCAACCCGTGCGCGAAGGCGCGCGAGGTGCTGGGCCAGAGGCCGTCGGGTTCCATCCAGCACGCCTGACCGCCGTCAGCCCGGCCCTCGCGGAGGGCAGTGAGCTCTGCCCGTTGCGTGGAGGTGGAGGCGATGAGCCCCCTCCAGTCGTCGAGGATCCCCGCGGCGAGTAGCCTCCCCCGGCGCGGCCGGGCGAGGGCGGCGAGCAGCCCCCCCTGGCGCAGCCGGGTGGGGGCGGCGAGAGCGAGGCGGAGGCCCCGGTGATCAGGGCTGCGAGGAGACCGTGGTAGCCCACGGAGCAGGAGAAGATGGGTCACGAGGTGAGCCGCGCCCCCTTCCGGGCGCGGTGCCGCCGCTGCGCGGCGGGCCGCGGGCGCGCGGATCCACGTGGGCAGCGCGACCGCGCGGAGGACGGGGTGCCCATCGTCGCGTTGGACTGCGCGCACTTGGGCGGCAGCGAGGACGGCGAGGGCGGCCCCTCGCAGATCGCGGTGGCGCGCGACTCGGCGACTCGAGACTCGATGGACTTCGAGCGAGGTGCTGCCGAACAAGGGGCTGACGCACCCCTTCAACGTGGAGACGTTGGCGAGGCTCTGCGTGCAGATGGACCATGCGAAGATGCGCTTGAAGTCGGACCAGGAGATGCCCATCCTGGCCATGAAGGCCGCAGCAGTGATGCGGCTCAAGGAGAAGGGCGTCACGGTCATGACCGAGGGGCCTGCCGTGGGCGAGTCCCAGAGCAACGAGC